TAAGTGAGACTGACTGACCGATCACCGATCCGGGCCGATCATGAGGAAAATCGGCCGATTCCGATCCCTGGCCGATCGATCGGTGCATCTCTAGTAATTGCTTATGTAATTACACTGTCAACTGTCTACTAAACTTCTCATATCCAAAATTTGGTAGCACTTTATTTAACAGTCCTGTAGAGAAACCTAGCATACATATAAAAACTAAAGTATACTTTGGGCTTAATCCCTAAGTTCTTACCTTAGGTTACTGTAAGTGCACGTACTGTAAAACAAAGTGCAACTCAAAACTCAATAGTAGCTAATGAGGATCTCACTCTCTAAAACAACATTTACACAATACTGTAAGTACATTTTTTAAGCAGAAGTATATAGTAGTTACAGATACATGAACAGGAACCCAACGGTTTTCTTGAGATTAACAACATGCTTTAGAACAAATAAACAAAAAAAAAAGAGACTCTTACTATGTAATCATGTAATGCTAAAGGCCCGTTCACACCAAGAACGATAACTATATAAGCGCACACTCGTCTGCCGCTTTAAATTCTCCAGCTCGTAATGGCAGGATTGATTCTGATTGGCTGTCAATGTTTTATCGTTCATCAGCTGGAAAAAAAAATCATCCTGAAAGTGATTCCAACGATATTGTTTCTCTGTGACTTTATTGTTATAGCTGTGGTGTGGACTCTGCTGTTCTTTTATATTGAGAAAGATATTTGGAACTATATCTTTATCGTTATATTTATAGATCTTTAACTACTATGTACTTACACAGCAATGCCATGGGTTCGATTCTCAGGGAATACATGACATATGTACCATGAATGCAATGTAAGCTGCTTTGGATAAAAGTGCCTGCCAAATGTATAAATGTAAAAGTACTGGTCAAAAGAGTCAAAAGAGCCCAGACCCAAGTCTCTGTAACTTTCAGGTCTCTAGATAAGTCTCGGCCTCTCATTCAATGTAAAAAAAATAAATAAAAAATTCCTTGTTTTATTGTCTGTCAGACCTAAATT